GTCATTTTACTTTGAGTTGCAAATTTATCATTTCTGTCATACCGGTACTGTTTATACCGATTTCAAGATCACCGGTTGAACCAGGTTCAACCGCCCAACATGCCACCGACATGACAACCATGATTATTATTCATGATTTCATGTTAATCAATTGATTTTATTGCTTAAATTCTTTATGTTATTTTAATTTATTTTTGGACTAATATCACTAGAACACCCGAATTATTACAAAAATGCTATTTGTGTCGTATTGTATTCAATATTTTATTATTATCCCGTCATATGATAGGTTGTGTCATTTACATCCGGATGGTTTTGTTGACCGTTAGAGATAACGATTAACTAGACAACGGCCACAACAATATTGACTTTTGTTGACGTGGTAGAAAATGTGGCGTCCACGCAGACGACATGTCATTGCCACATCATTTTAATTCAAAATGAAATTTAAAAATCAAAATTTAAGAACATTACTAAACAATATAATTGAAAATCCAAAATTGTAAGAACAATAATAAAAAAATCTCTGTCGATCCACTCCCCAACCCGCCAATACTCTGGTGCCTTCGGAATCGTGGTCGACTACTCCTGCAGTGACGACAGAAGCAAGGAGGAAAGGAGGTCATCGTGGAATTGGGATTTTCTTCTCGTAAACGACATCGTGGAAGAACCTTATTGTGTGGAAGAGGGAAAGAAAGGAAGAGACGAGGTGGATGCGGTTGGAAGTCGTACTTACCATCGATATTATCATCGACCGAAGAAGCTTGTCCCCTCATCCTCGAGTTGTTGCTCAAGCTTCCTGTCAGCGGAAGCCATGACCAAATGTTTGCACCTAAAAATTTATTGTGTACCACATTGATTAAATACAAGACATCTATTGTCTTTATAAGGCCGGATCAATTATAACAATTAATGTTATTTAAACTGAGCATGCCCCCTTGCTGGCCTCTAGGTGGTTTGAGTCCATCAGAATATGCTCCTTGCCTACTCGCTAGGGGAGGCGTTGGGGGTGGCAAGCATGTCGTGGTACTTGGTCCATGTTGAATGGATCTTCTCCAAATCATTCATTGACAGGCGTCTCATGTGATTTTGTCTCGAGAACGAGTGCGTGAACATCGCCATGTACATGCAAGACCTCATCACGTGTATTGAACATGGAGGCAGACCTCTCACCAAAATTCTCAAGTTGAGGGGGTGGTTGGCTTGTCACTAGAGTTGACAAGCTCTCATGTCATAGTTGGTCATTCTGATCACAAATAAGAGAGCCTATACTCCAAATAACACTGTTTAATGGTGGATCTTTACCATTTAGTGGTAAATACATTGATTTGACCACTCGTTCGGTTAATAATTGTGTCAACTCACTAAAATCACTTCTATTTTTGTCCAACAACTCAACAAGTTGATGTAGATGCTTGTCTAAATTAGAATTGAAAGACTCAATTTGAGCTTACCTTACATGCATTGCTTTTTATTGCCTCCTTCATAGACTTTCGGATCTCCACCATCCTCCTGTGGTTCTCCTCCGAGGCATGATGGTTATCCACCACCACTTTGCGGTTTTCCTCCTCCATCTGGTGAAGTAACAAGATGTTGGTGGTTATATCAACACTTGGTGCTGCCCATGGAAAAGTTTTCACCATGTCATTGTTACCGCCAACATCATTTATGCCCTGTCCAAGTTCAAACTTAGGCACTTGCTTCATCACAAACCCAGGTTAGAGATCACCTTCTTGTTGCCTTGTCTTGGAGCTATCAAATCAAACACAATGTCCCATGGCCATCAGTTGTGCCAAAAAAAAATTTGATGATAAAACTTGCGTTGAATTGAGATTAATTGCACCTTGACTTCTTTGGACAACTATTGCTAAGACACGACTCACACCTCTTTAAACAAAGTTCGAACGAGGGTGTTTGATTGATGGTTTTTGGGAATAAAACTAAGTTAAATTACTCCTACTCCTATAGAGGTTCAATGAGAGCTCCACACTACGACTATGGCTACATTGGCAGAGAAAATATAAAAACTTGATGTAGGCGTCAGTTGTGTAGTTTTGGGAACCTTTGTCTTTGTTCACCCCTTATCTTATTTATAGGCATGGAGTGATAACTGCCTTAGAGAACTGCTTGCTTGATAACTTCCAAAAAGAACCGTTCCCTTCTTCCTCGGATGTGTCTTCAAATGTGAGATGAGTGGCAATTGCTCCCTCAACTGCCTAGGCGTCTCTCTCTTGTTGGGGTCGAAGTCTTGTTGCTTGCCTCCTCTCCACCACGACCAGCGCTGTAAGATCTACCAACGTGGTCATATCTCACAACTAACGTTATCCAGATCTCGCGACCAACGTGGTCTAATCTCGCGACTAAGGCTGTCTATATCTCGCGACCAAGGCTTGTCTAGATCTAGGTCTCGCAATGAACGTAATCTAGATCTTCGTTTAGGTTGTGGCTTAATAAATTGGTACATAAATTAACCAATGTGTTGTTATTTTGTTTTCCCTAGTAAAATATCCTAATAAGTAAGTTTCTTTAATTGAAATTGAATGAAGAGATTTAGTGGATTGTATGCTCCGTGGCATACTTTAAATCTTTAGTTAGCAATTTCCTTAAAATAATAAATTGGTATAATTCTTAGAGTTGGAGACAACTTAATCCACTAATACGTTGAAAGATTTTGGGAATTAGAAATCCAAGTTAATAATAAATTAGTAGGCCCACACTTTGCAAATGTTGTAAAGTAGTCTCAAGTCAAGAAATCGTCGGTAGGACCCGAAAATCCCACCAATCTAACTCCGGTTTTCGCCATAGATTTATTGGTGGGTTGACTTTGGAAGTCTGAGTTGTCAAACGACGTAATTTAACAAGGTGTGTGGTTAAAGGGGGCTAAATTTAATGTTTCAAGTTATGTTATGCTTCTATATGCTTTCGATTATGCATGTTTTACTGGGTTTCCATGTTTAAGTTTCAAGGTATCATGATAAATAACCTAGTGCTTGTGGCACGTTAACAAGCAAGATCACGTTTTAAAACTCAACTAACTAGTTGCACACACGATCATCTTCCTTCCCAGCGTGAGGAAGTTTATCAAGTTATCAATCTTATCAGGTTTCCTTCTCATTGTGGGGAAGTTTATCAAGTTGATCGTGTTTTGGTGGCCTAACACCGACGCTAGTTAGGTTGAGGCCGAGCCCCCTTTTCAAGCAAGCTAAATAAGATTTCTTAATCATGTGTATTCTAGTTCTTTTTTCGTCCCTTCTAAGTCGTTGAGTTGTTATCACTTTATTTTAAGATAAATTGCACCTAGAATGACCTCACACCCGCACTCATGAGCTATTAGGGAGTAGGAATGCACAGATCGACCGCTGGCAGGGGCGGAGCTAGGATTCGGTGTTCGGGGGGCCGGAATATTTTATTATGTTACTTCAAAAAACGATAAAAATTAACAAAATTTATTTTAATATTATTATTATTATCGCATTTTTAGATTATTAGAGTTACTCGAAATAAAATTTATAGTGTTGTTTATTTTATGTAGACAAAATTAAATATGTCATATCCGTAAGTTTTTTCTATGAATTCATTAGTTTGTATGCTTCTAAAATTAGTATTGATTTGACCCGTTCTGATGGCAAGTGTAGAAAATGTATTTTCATCTTTTAGTCGGGGGACAAAGACATGATTCAGCTTTCATAAGGGAGGTTTATTATAATAACATCAATTCTAGATGATCATAATGAACTAAAATTTTGTATCACAGTACAATATAAATGAAAGAAAGTAAATAAATTAATAGTGCATTTCAATATTTTGTAACACATTCTATTTTTCATATTTGAAAATCATCATCTTGTCTAGTATCTTCTAAAAAATTCTTCATTCATTATTTATCCGAAGAGTATTCTTTAAAATTTTAATTTAATAGTGCATTTCAATATTTTGTAACACATTCTATTTTTCATATTTGAAAATCATCATCTTGTCTAGTATCTTCTAAAAAAATTCTTCATTCATTATTTATCCGAAGAGTATTCTTTAAAATTTTAATTTGAAGAACTTAATTGATATGATTTTATAGTGTAGAATTTAAGAAAACAAAATATGCAAATTGATAACTTATGAGACAAAGACTGAAACCATATTGAATTTAATAGAAATAAAAAGAACTACATGATGAAAAATGAATGAGAAGTTATTAAAACTGAAAAGTTAAAATCATAGCATCTGCATGCAATGGGTTTCGAACCCTTGACCTAAGGGATGTACTATCAAGTTTGCATCCGCTAGACTGTCTTGTTTTTTGTTTCCATTTTGCACACTAATATTTATATACATTCCATTTATTTTGTACGAAATTTCCAAATACCGATATTTTTATACGTATCTTTCAAAATTCTCGGGGGGGCCGGGGCCCCCCCGAGACCTAGTGTAGCTCCGCCCCTGACCGCTGGGACACCATTGTTGCTCAGGATGTCGTCAGAAGGTTAGTGGCCGAGAAAGTTTCACCAATGACTCCTTTTTCTTAATGAAATTCCTAGTATAGACTCGAGACAGATGCTCGTTTTTGTTGATTTGCCAAGGATCATTCCCATTTGAGATTTGAATTTTGGTTATGGATGATTTCCATTGTTTCCCCTTTCTATGATAAGAGATTTATTTTTTATTCTCAAGGTCATTTTAATAACCTGAAAGGGAATGACTTTTTCACACTACGATTATTGCCATGAGACTAAGTCAATTCGCATAGAGACACCCAATCCATAAACTCCATACCATTCATAGATATTTTTGTAGGTGACTACTTTTAATTACTCTAAAATAATTGTATTAGTTGCATGTATTTATGTTAAACGTTAACTACGTGTTGATTGTTATGCTATTATTTATTATATAAATCACGAATCCATTAGTAAGAGATCACATATCTATTAGTAAGAGATCTTTTTCTCACGTATCGATAATGTTATATTATATTGTTTAACGTGATTAACCAACAACGAAACTAATTAAAATTTAATTTGATTGTTTTATTTATTTGGACGATTTGGTTATGCAATTATTTAATGGTTAATGGTTAGTATTTAGTAAGATTTAGACTTAATTCTTTCTACACCCGTACAAACTGTTGGTGCGAGTGTGACCCACCAACCACAGCACATAGGAAGGATTACAGTTTTTTTCTTAATAGAGTTTATGTTCATCCCAAATTTTCTGCTTGCTACGAGTAGAATGGACGGCCAACTTGTTCGTAGACGGGACACAGACGTTCGATACATATCTTATCCAATTTCCCACTATGGAGGATACATCATGAACCAAATACCAGCTTTTCCACAGTGAGAAGACAGATGGGAGTTTCCAGATTTTCACCTCCCTTCATTGTCATCATCTCTCTCTTCATGGTGCTATTTCTTTGGCCGTCCCTGAACGGCTATACTATGAAGATGTAGAAGGCCAAAGGAATAGAGACAATGAAGAGCTGCGGTAACCTAAGGTTTAGTCTTACCCTATGTCTAAGATATCAACAGTTATGCACCCTTGTGTATCAGCCTGCATTTTTGCTGTCGTGATCGTCTTCTTGGCTATCTACTTCATCAGCATCTGCAGGTTTTAGGTTCACCATAAACCTCCAATTATCTCCTTCCTCTATTTCCCACTGTTTTTTCAGTTCATATATTGCATTAGATGCTGCAGCTGCAATTGCCGGGTTTCTATCTTCGGCCAGTCTCTGCAGCAAGGAAAGGAGAATTCTCAAAGTGCCTGGAGAGTTTGCTTTACAAGAAAACTATAGTGTTGTTTTATTATCACAAGTGACCCACCTGCAATGCTCCCATCCCTGCATTCCCCAATGCCCACATCGATGGAGCTGCTGCTAATGCATTGGCTAATGCTCGTCTGCCAAACACATACGAGCATTTAGAAATGTATACATGAGTAGACCATTTTTGCACAAATAAAGATGTCTTACCTAGTTTCTGCATCAGGGGAGCTTGAACATTCTGCTAACAGTGACACACTAGTTTTACCATCCATGGCATCAAGATCAATGAGGGTAGTGATCAGAAGTTCTAGCTGCTCCAGAAACAAAGATGATAATGCATGAAATTAAGATCGCTGCAACAAAATCATATAAACTTCTTCAAAAGTGAGTTTCAAACCTCTTCAGGATCAGTGTAGTCTATGCCATCGGCTTCAGAGAGTGCAGACGCCATGCTAAAGTAAGCATCCTGCATGCCACAACCCATGCCAACATGATTTTTCATGGTATTAGGAAAACAGACATAGTTAAGGAAATTGAATAAGACAGTCAAGGGAATAGAGACCTGTATTGCAGCAATACGATCAGAAGATACTTCTCCAGGGAAAATATCGGATGTACTTCCATTTTTCTCAAGTGTAATAAATTCCATTGTCTCATCATCAGCCACTGGACCTATCTGCTTGCTCAAAGAACTAAAAGTTGAAAAACATGGAAGGAATAATACGTGAATCATAGGCAAGCAACTTAATATGGAGCTAGGGGAGAAAGGAAAATGAAAGCAAAGAGCTTACTTACAGTTTGTGCATCTTTGAAACCATTAGGTCATGTATGTTTTGCACAAACTGAGAAAACATAAAAAAACCTAAGGAACATAAGTATTTTTCTCCATTGACATGAAGTTTTTATATGCTCCAAATTGTAAATTCATAATTTATAACAATAAATGGAATCCACCATGTATGTAGGACTCAGATAAACTATTTTCCCAACACGGGTATGTAGGCTTTAAATGATAAAACAAAATCTCACCTCCAATGCCATTAGGGCATCTTCCATGGCACGCTGCTTCGCACGAAAGTCAGCTCGACGCAGATCATTCTGGAAGCAGTCAGAAGGTTCCATCCCAAGTGCATCCGATGGTGTTTTCAACAATGGGATAACATTCCATTTCCAAAAAGTAAAATAAAGTAAATAACTATGAAATAGAGTGCTTCAGAAACAGAATAGGCGTTAAAGTTGAATTTGTAAGGGTGCAATGTGGACATAGATATAAGCAAAATGCCCAAGGTAAGTCTTGTTCAACCTACAAAGGATTGGATAGTGAATCTTTATTTAAACCTTCTTCCGTGCTCTGTAGATGGTTTTCTTATCCATAAACTTTTAGTGTTCCTTTAATTTTTGCATTTTTGAAGCTACATCAAACACAATGATCATATACAGAAATGTTGAGACAATGCAGTACCTTTAGAGCACCATCACTCCAGTGCTTAGTGGCAGCTCGTTCCAATCTGGACTGAGCTCTGTCCTTTAAGATCTGCATGACACAGAAGTAGATAATCTTCAGAACGAAGTAGTGTGGATGAAATTTTTTCGTAAAGTAGTAACATTGGCTCTGAATTTCCCATTATTTTAGTTACACTTGTGATGTGGTGAAGACGCTCTGCTTTCATTTTCACACCACTGTCAATTTTCTTAGTATCCTCCCTTGCCCGAGCTGCAGAGTAGCACACATAGTATCAAAGGACAAGTAGATAAAGGGGAAAACCAACATATCAGAGAATGGGATTTGTAGAGGGAGGACAATGATTTCAATCTTGCACATCACGTTTAATCAAACCGTAACCTGTCCCTGCCCACTGTCCAGGCCGCAGAAGTCAGAAAGGCAAAAGGTGGTAAACAATTTTAGGAGCAAAGGAAAACTCACCATCCAGTTTGAGAAACTCAGATCCAAGAATAGCAACATCTTTCCGTGCTCGGGCATCCAAGCTCAATATGCTCCTGATAAGAAGGGAAAGAACAGAATACAATGACCAAGCTTTCACTCTGAACAATATATTCAACAAATTCAGGACATCATACAGCAGTTTCAGAAAGACACCAGAAAAAAAAGTTGAGGACATGAGAGCTAAGAACGAGGACAGAAAGTAGATAAAGCGGATGGATTCCGAAAGAGACCTTATACAGAAGTATCTACAAATTTGAACAACTAATATTAGGTTCAATTGATGCTACAAATTGTAACTGTAACAAGAAGAGCCAACTAAGGCACAATTCTTCAAATCACTTGATTGAGTCCAAAGTATAGACCACAGTGATTACTAATATTGGGAAGCCTAATCCCTCTAGTAAATTGGACGAGTAAAGGATACAGTGGATACCGTGAAAGCAACACGATGTCATTACGAGCCCTTTCGTTTACATATCTAGCATCATTTTGCACAAATTTACAAGCTTCAGCTAGGCCTGGATTTGAATGGATACTTCTCCCAGCCATAGTTGTACGTTGTTCCTCTTCTCCAATTCTCGCACTGACACATGAAAGTATCTATATTGAAAACTTCAACACACATTTTAAACATATATATACATAAAAATGCGAAGAGCAGGAAGGAAGAAATGTGATGATGTGTCTTCCCGAGTGAATAAGCTCCAGGGTGCAGATGAAGGATGGTTTTCATGTGTCAAAAAATTGTCTAAACTTATGAAGACAACAGAACTGATACTCAAAGAGGCAAATGCATTAACAAAGACTAAGATATCTCACTTGGAAAGGTCGGAACGATCTTTAGAAGACAGGCAGCGTTCCTTTTCTTCAGCCCTTGGAGTTCGCATTGATTGGCATAGCAAAGAGGATTTTTGAGTGACCATGACATGGATTGATTTTTCATGCGTCCCCCAAAGCCTCTCTTCAGACGAAAAGATTCTTGAGTTGGAGATACGTGCATTCCTTATCTGCTGAAGATTGATTTGTTGCATTGTGGTAGGATAGGGTTTACAATGCAACATTGACTTGGAGCTAATGTCATGTGATATACGAGTAGTCCTGCTTTGGGTTGCAATTGCACTGCTTGAGACCTTGCTTGCACTGAGTTCCATGTGGAAAGGTCAGGACAGCAATAAGATGACAGCAGCTAGCATATCGCCTTGTTCTGCCGCCTCAAAAGCTTAGGTGAGGAAAAGGATAGTATTCCGTGAGAGTTTGGAGTTAGCAGGAACCCAGACAAAATTCACTAAAAGGAGAAATGCTAGAACGAAATTACCTAAGATGAACAACAATTGAAGAACACAAGCAAAATAATCGATTCCGTCGAGAACCCAAGTTTCCTTCTTAGCAGAATATCACCCAGAAAAGTTAAACATGGAAATTACTGATGCTCATGAAACCCAGATAGTTGAAGTAGCTAATTTACTCGCAGTACTACCCAAACGACTCAACTGTCAAGTCTGATTGCACAATTAATGAATTCCAGGAAAGGACGATTAGTTTAAGCAGAAGCCAATCAGTCCCACTATGAGAATATGGAACCAATCTATATTTACTGGTTAGCATGATTCCAATTAGGCCAGTAATGCAGAGTTGAATTGGTGCTAATCTCCAGAATGTTAAGCCAGCTTACATAGATTCCCAGCAGGAAGAAGACTAAGGGTAGAAAATCAGCAAGCAAATGAGGTACCCACAAAGCGAAACTGAAAGAGAGAAGGGGAAGACTGACCTTGAAGCCTAGGGGAAGAAGAAGAAGAAGAAGGCCCTTAGTAGAAGTTTTTTGCTTTTGTTTCTGGGGTGTGAATCCCTTGGCAGAAGAAGTTAGTGAGCATTTGGTGTGTATTGGATAAATGATTGTTTTGTAGTAAGGCAGAGTATGGGGGAATTATGGGAGCAGGAAGGGAAAGATGACTAGCAACCACAGGTTAAGGTTGTGGCTGAATGAGGACCAACGCTACCAAACAAAGGCTGTGGCCAAGTAGTGTAGTACTACTATTCTAGGAGTAAATCCCTACCAGGGCCAACGGATTTTAAAGCTTTTTCTTTGCCATTGCCGTCGCCATCGGTCATCGGTGGCCGCTTGCCCGGTGAGGATGGGAGAAGGAGAGAGAGAGAGCGGCCGATTATGGATTAGATAGATCCCTCATCCGGTCATCCCAAAAGGAAAACATAATCCACGTCACTACGACACGTTTGGTAGTAGTTTACAATTTACAATGCCTATGTTTGGCCCGATTTTTAAAAATATATTTCGGTTTCAAAAGTTGAAACAGGACCAAATACTTTTAAAAACTCGGCTTTTAAAAAGTCGAAAAGTGATTTTGGACTAATTTTTTTTTTTGATGAATGCGAGAGAATTTTATTTCTAATAGGTGGAGGGTCTATAAGAAATAGACTAACTCCAAGTACAAGTAAAAAAGATAAATGACAGTGGAATGAAAATTACATCATGATAAGTTTCATGGAGGTTGAAAAGCAGGAGCAGAATTGGTCCCAAAATACAAAGAATAAAGAGAATAACTGTCCTGGGAGGAGACCAGCTTATTTGTGAGAGTGCATTCGCATACTGCTCTACAGATACGATTGGTGACAGCATGTACACTTCCAATCTTATTACTGAAAATTCTTGCGTTTCTTTCAATCCACAAGTGCCAGAATATCATAATTGGAAGTAGACGTTGCACTTTCCTGAAGCGACATCCTCTAGAAAACGATTTCCATTCCAAAAATAATTCCTTGCACAGCCTTGGTCTTGGTCCCAACAACTGTAGGCGAAAGTGAAAATAGTTCCAAACACGAGTTGCGAACTTGCAATGAAGAAGTAAGTGGTCCGATGATTCTTCGGATGCAAAGCACATGCAACAGTGATTGGGTAAACACCATCCTCGTATTTGAAGTTGATCGACAGTAAGAATTTTACCTTGAAAAACCAACCAACTAAATGCTGAAACTTTTGTTGGTGCGGCTGGATTCCATATAAGTTTGTCTGGGAATTCTCCAAATCCTGGGAAACTTCCTTGGGTAATATGATGATAGGCTGCATAGACGGAGAAGACTTTCTCAGGGAGTAGAGAATGTAAAGAATCAACTTCACCTTGTAACCATAGAGGAGTGGTGGTGCTAAGTACAGTTTTAAACTGTAGAAGTTGCCTTTGAATATCCCCCCTGAACGTGTAGTTGAAAACTATATTCCAATTAATTTCGCCTTGTTGAAGCTGATATGCTTTTCTGAGAAGAACATTGGGATTAGTTGCTGCAGCAAATAGACTGGGGAAAGATTCTGAGAGGATGCAAGACGGCAACCACGGATCCTTCCAAAAGGATAAAGAGGAGTTTGATCCCGGTTTGACTACCGCTGTAAGCCAGAAGTACCGCTCCACTTTAAGAATACGCCTCCAAATAGAAAAGTGCATAGCTCCTGTAGTAACCTTCAAATTCCATGAGCATGGTGGGTAATTGAACTTGCACGTTAGGAGTGACCTCCACCAACCTTGAGAATCTGTATGGAAACGCCAAAACCACTTGAGTAAGAGGGATATATTAAACTGGTGTAGATCTTTCAAGCCCAAGCCACCCTTGTTGTAAGCAGCCTTCGTAATATTCCAGCCAACTAAATGAATCTTGTTGCTGTCCACTCCATCAGACCAAAGGAATCTTCTCATGATTGCCTCAAGCCTGTGAATAATGCTCATGGGGGCAAGTAGAAGCGACATATAATATACAGTTAGAGCTGAAAGCACACTTTTGATGAGTGCAATCCGACCCGCAAGAGAAAGAAAGGTTCCTTTCCACGAAGATAGTCTTCTAGTCAAGCAGTCAACCACCGGCTGCCACGTACATGTAGATGATGGGTGAGCTCCCAGAGGTAGCCCAAGATACGTGGAAGGGAGTGTCCCGACTGTACAGCCCAATAGTGAAGCATAATGATCCGCAGATGCAACATTTCCAACAGGGAACAATTTCGATTTTCCCAGGTTAATTTTGAGGCCAGAAATTACCTCAAAACTAGAAAGGGCTGCTCTAATATGTAAGATGGTGTTGGGATTTGCATCGCATAATAGTAGGGTATCATCCGCATAGAGTAGGTGAGTAACTTCGCCATTGAAAGCAGCATGATTCATGAAAAATCCAGAAATGAGACCAGCTTCCTTAAGCTTGTCGAAAATGAGAGAAAGCCCTTCCATCACTATTATGAAGAGAAATGGTGATAATGGATCACCTTGACGTAGTCCCCTCTGACTTTTGAAGTAACCTGTAGATTCCCCGTTTAAAAGTGCTGAAAAGTGGACTGATGAGATAGCTGCTCGAATCCATGATATCCACCTTTCACCAAAACCCATTCTTTTCAAACCATAGAGAAGGAATTCCCAATTGACATGATCGAAAGCTTTTTCAATGTCTAGTTTCAGAATGATTCCAGGATAACCACTCTTCTGTCGTGTGTCGATAAGCTCATTAGCTATTAAGGCTGCATCCAAGATTTGTCTGCCATGAACAAAAGCCAGTTGAGAATTAGAGATTAGAATGTTCATATACCTCTTCATGCGGGTAGCTAGAAGCTTTGCGATGATTTTGTAAACACTGCCAATCAAGCTAATAGGTCGGATGTCTCGTATGTCTTCGATGAATTCCTTTTTTGGAGCAAGCACTAAAAACGTACTATTTACTGTCGTTGGGTGAATACCATGTTCTTGGAAGTGCAGTAGAGAAGATAGAAGATCCACCTTGACAATATCCCAATAAACTTTATAGAATTTGAAATTGAAGCCGTCCGGTCCCGGCGCTTTATCGATGGAGCTGTTTTGAATAACAGACCAAACTTCAGCCTCTGTAAAATCTTTCTCTAACTCATGGGAAGCCTCATAATCTAGAGAGTGGAACTGGAGGTTGTTGGGGATGGGCCTTATTCTGTTTGGCTCAGAGTACAGGGCACGATAGAAGTGCACCACAGCCTTTCCGATCTCCGTTTGGCCTTCAAAAGTGATTCCTCCTACCACAATTTTAGATATGAAATTTTTGCGACGGTTGTAGTTTGCTGCTCGGTGGAAGAAATTAGTGTTCTTATCGCCAAACTTCAACCATACTTCTCGAGAGCGCTGCCTCCAGTAGACCTCTTCTCTGATTAGGATCGAGTCCAAGTCACATTTGAGTAGGCCTCTCTTGATCCTGTCATTGTCGGTAAGAAGTCCCGACTCTTCCAAGATATCTAGATCGTGTATGAGACTAAGAAGGTGTTGTTTCTGCACATCGACTCTCCCAAATTCAGAAACATTCCAGACTTTCAGCTTAGACTTCAGATACTTCAGGCGGGAAGCAAAGTCGAATGGTGACCTGATTGTGAGACTATTATCATTCCACCATTGAGATAGTAATGAAGTAAGCTCGCTGTTCATGGTCCACATATTCTCGAACCGGAATGGCCTTCTAATAATGGTATGAGAGCCACAACGAAGTAAAACAGGATTGTGGTCAGAAAGTGCCCTGACTTGAGCCGACTGAATGCTATTTGGGAACTGTATATCAAAACCGGTTGATATAAGGAATCTGTCTAGGCGAGACATTGTTGGCCGATTTCTCAAAGTGCTGTAGGTAAATTGACCACCAGAAAGTGGGAGATCGATGAGAGCCCTGTCTTCGATGAAATCATTAAAGAGAGACAACTCGGTAGAATTCCTTGTTTCTCCTGTAGTTTCTGCAGCATATCTGATCATATTGAAATCCCCTGTGAAGCATATTGGGACCTTCCACCTGTCGTAGCTTTGGTGGAGTTCTTGGATGAAATGTCTCTTGTCTGTCAATTCTTGAGGGCCATAGACAGCAACAAAAACCCAACAAAAGTTTGAAGAGGAGCAGCGAAACAAGCAAGACACAGAGAAATTTCCAATAACTGAGTCCTCCAAAATAAACATTGACCTTTTCCACATAACCAGAATCCCCCCAGAAGCTCCATTAGAGGTTTTGTGGATCCATTGGAAATGATTGTTGCCTCCGATATTGCGAACTAAGCTGGGTTTGTCCTCTTTCCATTTTGTTTCTTGCAAAGTCAGTATATCTGGCCTCCAGGGCTTCAGAAATTGACGAACTTTTCCCCTTTTATTAGAGCTGCAAAGGCCTCTTGCATTCCACGAGATAATATTAAAATTCATTATGGTCGAGGGGAGGAGGACCAAACCTAGAGCGCCTTTGCTGAGAATCTGTGACTTTGAAGTTTACGGAGAAAGATAGCCTGCGCAATTCTCTTCGGGTCTTTTCGTCAATAATTAAGGACGAAGCTAAGTTCTCCTGGACCATATCTTCTGCTTCTGCCACGGATCCTTGGTAAGAGAGGTCTATGAGTCTTGAAACGGTACTGCCTACCGTCAGGAGTTGGGTCGAAATGTCTGGTGGATCCGGTGGGAGAGTTGAGACGGGAGGAATAGGGGCAATTAGATTTCTGTTTGATTGGGATTGCGGAGGCGAGGATAATGGGGAGAGAGGTTGGATAAATGAGGGCATCAAAATGTTGGAGGAAGCTGGTGTTTTAGATAAAAGGAACAAATAGATGGTAGGGGGGAGATCTCGTAGACGAGGGCTGGGTAGAATTGAAAAGGTGAGGGTCGGGGAAGAACTGATCGCAAAGTTTAGATTTGGGAATTTAGAAAATGATGGTTTGCAAACTGGGAATTTGACTATTGGGCTAAGGTTAGATGAGAGAAGATTGTGTGCCCTGTGAAAAGAATTTAGGCTTCTTGTTGGGTTTGGGCCCATTATGAAATTGGGTTTCGGATGGTTAGCACTAGCTGGTGGGTTTGAGATGGGTGGGCAAGGGTCCATGGTGCTATTAATGGGAGGGGGTGGTAAATTAACAGATGTGGAATGGGAGGAAGATGGTTCGTCAGATGGGATGCTCAGATGAGTAATTGGTTGTGGAGCTTTCAATTTTGGGACCCATCTCATAACTCTCTTCCGCACGAGCATGGGGGCTCTGTCTTCCATATCTTCATGTCGAGTGTAGTAAATACTACCTTTGCCTTTCCAGTTTCCAAGGACGGCTGATTTCCCTGTTGCAAGTGGCGGCTTGATGTTTGGCTCCGGCGCCACCGCTACCAAGTAAATCTGATCTCCGATTTTGACAGGTATT